CTAGCAAGTGCGAGATCCACAGCCTCGCTTTTTTGCGGGGTTTTCATGTTTTTTGTTCTTGTTTTTTCTACCTTTTTTTAATTAACTTCCAAATAATGTAAATAAATATATTACAAAAAACACTTTACTTAAAACATTTTAAAGAAATCTTAACCAAGATTTGAAAAAAAGTTAAATGTGTATATAGAAATTTTTTCTCATGTATACGAATAATGTATACAAATTACAAAAATACAATGTGTGAAAACATTTGATCATGTATATAAAAAATGTTAAGCATTTGAAAAAATGTTAAACAAGTATTTGAAAAATGTTAATCAAGCATTTGAAAATGTTAAATCTATATAGAAAAAATGTTGACCATGTATTCAAACATTCTTAAACTTGTATTCAGAAAATGTTAATCAAGCATTTGAAAAAAATGTTAAATGTGTATAGAAACAATGTTGAACATGTACTAAAAAACTGTTAATTTGGCATTTGAAACTTTTAATCAAGGATTTGAAAAATATTAAATGTGTATAGAAAAATACTGGCCATGTATTCAAAATATGTTAAACTTGTATTTATGATAGTCAAGCATTTCAAAAACATGTTAAATGTGTATATAAAAGTAGCTGACCATGTATTCAGAAAATGTTAATATAATATATAAAAAAATAAAGCATTTTAAAATTTAAATATTTATGGAAAAAATGTTAACCACGTATTCAATAAATGTTAATCTTGTATTTTAAAAAAAATAAAACTGTATTTGAAATTGTATTAGATATGTACCAAAAATGTGTATAGAAAACAGTGAAAACCCGAGAGAAAACAAAAGAAAACCAATGAAAAACAAGAAAAGAAACAAACAAAACCACAGAAAAAGAAAGAAAATAAAAAAAGCCTGTGAAAACACGAGAAAGAAACAAAGAAAACCAAAGAACAAGAAAAAACACGAGAAAGAAACAAAGAAAACCAAAGAGCAAGAAAGAAAAATAAAAGAGAAGAGAAAAACAGTAAAAACAAAGAAAGAAACGAAAGAAAACCGATGAAAAAAACCGCAAAACCAGTGAAAAACCGACTCTTTTCCTTCAAGTTGGTCGTGCCGTACTAATACTAGTAGAATGTCCGTGCGTTGCTACGAGCTACCAATGAATATAAGTGAATCAAATAAATGACTAAGATTGTATACAAGGTTCAAGCTCATTTCTCCCTTATAAGTTCAGCCTTGTTTTGACATCAAACGGGTACGTAGCGGGCTCCCCAAAATCCACCTGTCTTGAGAGTCCGTGCTCCACCAATCCAGCCTATGTCTAGGGAGAAATGTGGTTGCCGGACTATCCGCCATGTTATCTTCAATATATAGTCACAACCCAAAACTCCATCCCACGACGCACCCTTCTCTTTTCATGCCAGACCGTCCCCTTCTGGCTCGGTTTCCCACCATACCGAGATATTTCTCGCTTGAGCCCTCTTCTTTATAATCGGATGACATCCACCTCACCTTCGTCATGGCATCCTCTCTCCTTCACATCCTACTTCCGCATGGACCGCGAAGGAGGAGGTCCTCACCAACCACCCTGTTCTCCGCATTGATCCCCTTCCGCGTGTTCCATCCGCTACTGCCATCAAGGGTGGACTTGGCGTGCGCCACCCATGACGCCTCCCGAGAAGGCATATTTGATGTCTCCAGAGCCATTGCCACATTGTAATATATACAGTTGAATGTCATCCATTACCACAAAACAAAAATAAAAAATATGATGGCCATTGTTGGGGATGCAATTGATACACCGTCGTGTCCGTTATTAATGCTTAAAGCTAACATCTCTTTCGTTTTTGTTTTGGGTTTTCTTTCATTTTTTCCATGTATGGTTTCCTTACCCAACATATCTGCAACGCTTCGACTCATTGCCCACTCCTTCCATTCACTCCTACTGCACAGATTCACTCTCGTCTCTCTTCTCTCACGAGGAAAGAAATCATGCCGCGTCTATCTACTGCCATCCCATCTCATGTACTCCATGTCGTCGCCCCTACATCTCCACAACCTACCAGTCCCCTCCATCATCACCTGGCAGAAGGTCCAAGAAACCTCACCTTGTCACCCATCATCCCGGCGTCCCATCGGCCACACGAGCATTGTCGTCCGTAGCAACACAAGAGCATTGTCGGCCGTAGCAACGCACGAGCATGTAGCTAGTTGGATAAAACGGCTAGAGGCATGAAGGATCCTACTCGCCTAATAAGTGAAAGCAATACACTTCTAACACTTGAATGGAATTGCCAAGTCTATGATGAATGAGAATGAAAAACACAGGAGGGTCAACTCCAATACAAACACATGATAAGTTAGCCAAGGGTCCATATTAGGCAATAGGCATATTAAAAGTGATTTTTCTATGGGGCTAATTTGAATGGCCTATTGAGATGCTAGATAGCTCTTTGAGACCTTTATCTCTTGTTGACTACTACTGCACCAGACAATAGATCGAGAGAACAAAAATCAAATGCATCAAAAGATGGCATACATGAGAAACAATACTATACTTTACAAATTCAAGATCAAAAGCACATTTAATCATGTTTACTAATCTGCACTAAGAGGGTATCATTTCTATAGAAATAAAATGGTCTTTACAAGTCTAAAACACATCAGTGCTTCTCCATACGGTTCTTGATTATTTTTTATTCACTTTTGGGGCACATAAATAGAGTGTACGACTTTCATACACCAAAACAGTAATTTTGTGATGTATAATTTGATAAGACAGACACTCATGCCAACAAAGAAAAGAAAAATAGTGCTAAAAACTATCCTTTGTTCAAATCTGTTCATGGAGAAGACGGATCCAATACGTGTTGAAGGAAAATATTTGTTTTGACTGCATGACCATTGCCACGATATTAATTCCATGCAATGACACCCCAGTAATTTTCTTTTCATTCGTAACATCAAACAAACTGATAGACCAATTAATAATCTATTTATATAGTAACGAACTAATCAAGAATATGTGGGGACACATATATATATTCATGTAGACCATACGTGTGGTTAATCGCTAATCAGGCCACACAGACGGCGCCGTGCCTGCCTGCTTTCATGTGGCTGGAGTAATTAATAATGTACGTTCTTTGTGTTGTTCCATCCAACAATCAAACCCTAGCACCAGTTGCAGCCCATGTCATGAGGTACAATATGAACTCAGCTGAGCAACATAGCAGTTGAACGAAGCTAAGTAATCTGAACAAATTAACAAGTACCAGGAAATAATCAGGGGAGATGCAAAATACAGAAATAGGCAAAACTTGTTCAGCTAATTATCCTAATGCTTTTGTGAACCAAGTGTATTCATTAAGGAAAGCATGTAGAAGAGAACCAATTATGTATATTTTTCCTATATAGCACAGAATAGACTATAATGTTTCTTACAAGCAGGAGTAGATGTGAAACAGGTCACAGGAAAGAGACAAAGAGTTCACGTGTTCCAGAATTGAGAATTCCAGTGTGAATATTAACAAAAGGCTAGACGGCATAACAGTAAGGCAGCTCAACGAAAGGAAGGAGCATCATTTATGGTTGCCCTGGTACTTAACTAACACGCAGAAACATTTCATATTGCAGAGAGTACCAACAGTTTAGCAAGGACATGAAAAAAAAAAGCACTAACAAAAAGCTCGCCGGCATAATAGTATACCATAATAAGATTAACACAAAACCAGGAAATTTCAATCAGATTTGCAATTCAGGCCAAAAAATGTTTATACTATAATAATAACACAACCATCAAGTCTTAGTTAATTACTCAAGAGCTAATTGTTTTTAAAAGTTTTGATCGACTGCTTCAATATAGCAGTGAAAACATAATGAACCACTGCCAACAAATTTCAGTTAACTAACCTACGGGTGGATACTGATAAAAACAACTAAATATATAAGTAAAGTAGACTATCAAATACACATGACCATGAGTGCATCACTGATTGCAG